GTAACGATGCCGATTCCGACACTCATCAGCACGAGCCCCACAGCCCTCCCGACCTAAAAGCAACTTCTGCGACCCTCGGCGATCAAAGCCTGGCACCTTTTCTCGCTCGACACGTTCCCGAACAGTACGGCGCTCTTGGACCCCAGAACAAGGGCCTGATGGAGCTGAGCGGCGCGGATTCACGCTATTGTTATCGCCATAGGCCTGACCGTAAATGCAGGCGACAAGCAGACGAGCCGACCATGGACAAATTACAGCGAGTGAGTCTTGCCATACCCCGCCGGTCTATTGCGCGTTTATTTCGACAAATGCAGCATGCAATTCTAGTTTTTCTCCAAGCTAATCGTTTTCTTGCATAGGAATTGGAAACACTGCCGCAGAGCGATCAGCAGGGTATCGCACATGTTTGGTCCCTCTTCTCCGCCGCGCCAGCAAAACACCGAAAATTGCTCCTTCAGGGTATCATGGCTCAATGCTGCTTTCCGCAACTCTCCTTCATTTCCGCGACCGTTCGAGATCTCATCCGCATCGACTTCATCGCGGCACTTCCCCCGGAGATTTCTTTCAAAATTCTCTGTTACCTGGACACAACTTCACTGTGCAAGGCCGCGCAAGTATCACGGCGATGGAGAGCTCTCGCAGATGATGACGTGGTTTGGCACCGGATGTGCGAGCAGCATATTCACCGCAAATGCAAGAAGTGCGGCTGGGGACTTCCTCTTCTAGATCGAAAGCGTTTGCGGGAATCGAAGCGTGAAATCGAACTGCGCGCCACAAACTGGGATATCAGCGGACCGGCAGCGGGTGCTGCTACCACCTGCAACGCGGAGACTGATGCGGCAGCGGTTGTTCCAGCGAACCCCGCGAACCCAGCCAAGCGAAAGCCTGATTCGAGCGAGGAACAGTCCACTCTCGTCAAACGCCATTGCTCGTCGCTTGCTCCGGCCCCGGGCCTTGGGAATGACGACGCCTACTTCAAGACACGATACAGACCTTGGAAGGAAGTCTACAAGGATCGTTTCAAAGTGGGAACGAATTGGAAATATGGACGCTGCTCCGTCAAAGTTTTCAAGGGCCATACGAATGGTGTGATGTGTCTCCAATTCGAGGACAACATTCTTGCCACGGGGTCTTATGATGCTACGATCAAGATTTGGGATACCGAGACTGGCCAAGAGCTGCGCACGCTTCGTGGACACGAATCTGGCATTCGTTGTTTGCAGTTTGATGACACCAAATTGATCAGTGGTAGCATGGACCGCACCGTCAAAGTGTGGAACTGGCGCACCGGCGAATGCATTTCCACCTATACCGGCCATCGCGGTGGTATCATTGGCTTACACTTTGATGCCACTATTCTCGCTTCTGCATCTGTCGATAAGACTGTCAAGATTTGGAACTTTGAGGATAAGTCGACCTGCCTTCTACGGGGACACACAGACTGGGTCAACGCAGTGCGGGTGGATTCGATGTCTCGTACAGTTTTCTCAGCCTCGGACGATTGCACCGTCCGACTCTGGGACCTGGATAGCAAGACCTGCATTAGGACATTCCACGGGCATGTGGGTCAAGTCCAGCAGGTGATCCCGCTTCCTCGGGAGTTTGAATTCGAGGAGCATGATGCGGAGTGTGAAAACGACAATGTCAGCATCATCTCCGGGGACATCGAGCCGGCCTCTCTTCAGGCTACACTGGGGTTAGAGTCCAATTCTGTCATGTCGCAGAGCTCGCCTTTTGGACCCGCTTTCGCAGACGGCCGTCCAGCACCACCGCGCTACATCGTCACCAGTGCTCTGGACTCGACGATCCGTCTGTGGGAGACGAGCACTGGTCGCTGCCTGCGCACGTTCTTCGGCCACTTGGAGGGTGTCTGGGCTCTTGCCGCCGACACCCTTCGCATTGTCTCGGGAGCCGAAGACCGCATGGTCAAGATCTGGGATCCCAGAACGGGCAAATGCGAGCGCACATTCACTGGTCACTCCGGCCCCGTCACTTGCATGGGACTTGGTGACAGTCGCTTCGCCACCGGCAGCGAGGACTGCGAGGTCCGAATGTACAGCTTCCAGAGCTGATGCCTTCTTTTTTTTTTTTTTTTTTTTTTCTTTTTTTTTCACTTCTTTCTACAAATCTCCTTCCGCTAAAAGCTACGAGTGGCTTGGTTTAATGCTTGTTGTCGTTGAAACTTTATGAAAATACCCATCATGTTTTCTATTTTCAGGCGTGGCTGGAGGGTTCGGATGGCTGGAGGAAGCCTGGCGTTGGTGTTGTGTTGTTGTACTGGTCTTGTCAGGTTATAACCTATTTCCAATTCATCTGGTAATGCTGCTTATCAGGGTTCAGAGTGTGCTACGTAAACTAAAACCTGAAGAAGTCTTTATGAAGTTGCTTGGGGTTTAAACTGATGCTAAGTGTGTTAGTGCTTAGAGATGCCTAAGAATGACTTTAAGCACAAAACTACTAGGTAGCATCTTCCTCTTGCCCTATAAAGTCAAGCGTACACATCCGGTTGTTAAGAATATGACGCTGAAATATTCTTCCTAAATATGCAACTTATCTCCACTGGAAGATGCTCATACTACTGATTAATAGACACACACACACACACACAAACACACACACACGTTCCACATCATGTATTGATCCATTCAAATCTTTGATAATGTAGTATAGAGCTTCGAGGTCCATTCAAAAACCACACATTCCCGTATTAAACCAAGCTATATAACCCCCCCATGCCCCAAATATACCACCCTAACGCAGTCAACCCCAGCCCGACAAGCAACCAAAATCACCAAAAAAAAAAAAAAAAAAAAAACTAAACGCATGGTGTAATAGCTAAGCCGCAGCAAACCAAACCAACCAACCCAACCCAAACAACCATACAACCCCAACACCCAGTATATATCCCATCTTCTCCAACCCACACAACTCCCACCCCAAACTCAAGGCTTGCACGCCAACCCCTCCAACTGCTGCGCAACGAGCAGCGTAGCCACGATAATCAGAATCATGATGCCGATCTGGCCGAACAGGATCCAGTGCTGGTTGCGGACGATGGCCTCGCTGGTTCTGAGGAGGTGCTCATCGAAACTGGCTTGCTTGAGGTGTATAGAGTTGGTATGGGCTGCAGGGGCTGTGGAAGGCGGTGTTAGTGAGACTTGAGCTTTGAGGGGATGTTTTGAATGCTATTCTGGATGTTATGGCTGCTCTTACCAGCTGGACTGAGCGTTTGTGTTGCGACGACTCGTGGGCTGGTCGAAGGGGAGGAGCCATGTCCTCCTGGGATGGGGATGACGATGTAGTCCATCTCGTGGGTTTCTGGGGGTGGGGATGAGGAGGAGGAGGAGGAAGAGGAGGAGGAGGAGCTGGAGCTTGACGAAGACATTGTTCTTCAGTACAGTTGAGTGAAGCTGTATCGAGAAGGAGAGGATGTAGTGTTTCAGAGGAGGTTGGAATGGATATTGAAGAAGCACTTGAAGATAGATAGAATTTGTTGCAGCAGATGAAGATCCTGCACTACCGAGGTGCTTTTGCTGAAAGATCCAGCGGCTGATGTCCCCATTACGTCCGGTCCATGTTGAAGATGATTCATAGCCTCCCTACACCAGAAGAACCGGCGGTGGTGATAATGATGAAGTCAGCTGGACACTCGACCAGCCCAGCCCTATAAGGATAAGTATTTCCACGCCGACCTGTGCCATGCAGTTCTCACCATTTCAGCCCGCATATAGAAGCCTATAGAAAAGATCAAGAGAGCATCCCCAACAATGAAGCCCGAGTTATCACCATACCAAGACCCGCTAGACCACACCCCAAGAACGACCACCCCCCCACCCGCGTACATCACCATCGACTTATCTGGCAGCGCAAAAGTCTACGGCCTCGAAGCATACCCATCCACACAATGACAAAAGGCCTCAGCCCATCTACGTTCCACCGCAGTTCACCGTCACCGTCACCGCCACCGTCTAAGAGCCCGAACCCGAACGAAGACGTCGTGAGTCTTTTCCACCGCCACATATCCCCACAAAACCATCCTGCCCAATTTTCTCCAACAATCTAACCCATGAAGACGCAGGACAATGTCCCCGCCTCTCCTCCATCATCACCGGAATCGTCATGACGGCCATAATCGGCGGGGCCTTTGCCCTCACAGTGGTCGCGACTGTTTTCAGAGTGAAAGACGGTAATCTACATTTCTTCCCTCCCCTATATCACTTTGATAGGTAATTCCATATGACATCGAGATTTCCACTGACGTTATCCTCTCCCTTTTTCCGAATCCAGAAAAAGCCGCTTCCAAAGCTGCTTCCTGAAAGCCACGGCTCCGTTTTTCTGCCTGCCCTCAACCCTATAGATTAGTCTTCAGGGTGATAAATGTGGGTGATGTGATTGGGGGATTGAGCAGGGCAGGGCTTTGCTCTGTTGGCTCTAGGAACGGGGTCCGGGTTTCTTTTGCTATGCTCTTCATGACTTTTAAAAGTTGAGGGGGTCATTTGCCGGGTGTTTTTGGTTCTTGGAGTACAGAGTATCGGGCCTAGTTCAAGTTTATAGTTGGGTTCAATACCCTATCTAAGAGGGCCTGGCTTATAAGTTATAGTCAAGCTCATATACTGCAAGCTAGGTACTTTGAATATACCTTTTGCTTAACACATCTTTCAGGAAGTCTATACCAGTATCAGTTTATCACCGAAGATCAAGATTCTGCACAGTATCAAGATGTACTACATTCTGCTCCAAGCTCCAGCAGCTGATATCTTTATTACATGCTTCCTACGCGTTGAAGAGGATTTACATCATCTCTACACTAAAAGAAACCGACAGGAGTGATAATAATGAAGTCACTTCGTCACTTGACCAGCAACCGCGCTGCAGACCTAGCTATATAAGTATCTCTACACTGACTGATCTCGCTTCAGCAGTTCCTTGTTCCTTTGACCTACTCCCCAGAAAGAAGCAAACCTATAAAGAAAAGCCCCAGAAGTATCCCGTCTACAATCATGGGGCCCGAAGAATCTTATCCACCGCCCTACCAAAACCCTGAAACCCACCCCTCAACAATAACCATCCCATCACCCGCGTACATCACGATCGACCCATTTGGCAGCGAAGAAGTCCACAAGCTCGACCACTTCCCACCCAAGTCCGACGACAACATCGAAACGAGCTTCACCAACCCAGCCAAGTCCACCGCCACCGCCACCATCTCAGAACCAGAACGTCTCCACCAGCCCACTGCAGCCCTACCCAAACCCAGCCTCTCATTCAAGCCCATCACCGCCTTCAAACGCGAACGCAAACGCAAACGCAACCCTTCCACCAGCAATCCATACGCAGGAACCCTAACCCGCAAACGTGAGCTCCTCCCCCTGCCATAACACCACATACCAAGCCTTCCAATGCATCCTCCAATCTAAACCTCAACCCAGGCGTATGCCCCTGCTCCAAAAGCAGTATCACAATGGGAGTTATCCTGCTCAGTGTCATCGGCTTATTCATCGGCGGCCTATGCTTTTTGCTCTATTGGGAAGGTAAAGCTGCATTCCATTCCCTTCTTCATCTACGATGAAAAAAAAGCCCCCGAAAGAAGACCCTGAACTGAAAATGCTGTCCCGGGAAAAAGATAAAAAAAAACTAACAGAGTCTTCTCTCTCCGAATTTAGAAAAGAAAGAGGCCGAAGCAGGGATTACTCATCCTGACTTCTGGGGCGCCTTCGTGACAGCTATGAGCCCCTGGACTTGGTTTTCGTGATCATGAGGCGGTGATGGGATTGGGGGGTTTGGGTGGGGTAGGTAGGGCTTGCTCGGTTGGCGTTTAGTTAAGGGGGTTGTTTGCTGTCGTGGGCTTTTGGGGTATGGAGTCATGGCCTAGATTGTGTTGATGGTTGGGTTTGCATTCTAGAAGCGAGGTGCTTTGGGTAGAGCTTGGTCTCGTGAGACTGGAGTAGGTGAGTGTGTAGGAGGTGTTTTAACATCGCGCTTAGAAAGCAAGAATAGGATAGATGGGGTTATGCCGCTGTTCTTATTGCTGTAAGCTTAGCTAGAAGAATTGATTTTACTTCTTTTCTATCTGGGTGCATAGTAGAATGTATAGTTTTCATTCCTATAATCAGTGGTTGACTTGTCTTCAAGCCAAAAAAGTCACAGATTAAATCAAGGATCTTGGAGTAGAAGTGTACACAGAAGGCACTTATCATGATCATATCATCTCAACTGTAAGAACAAGAATACCACTGTTTGATCATAAAGCATCATATGTTATACAGTAGCAGCGATAACATCAAAATCACTATCAACAATCCATTGAGTTTTTAGTGCAATTAATAGACCCTTCTATAGAACAAACAACACCCAGGATAGTCAGTATACAAGTACAAACTATAGCTTTGGGACTTATATTGAACTTTCACAGATCCTTGACTTTTGTGTACAAACTTAGTAGAAGGAAGATCAAAGTATAAGAAATACATACATTAAAAAAATGATTAGCAAATCAACAGAATAGTAGATTGCATACATGATTGGCAAATAAATAGAACCAATTGATTTAACTCATTAAAAATTCGAGGGAAACCATGTATTTAGCAAAACAGATAGGGCCGGTATACAAGCTCATACCAACTTATCCTAATACCTCAGAAAGACAACTTGGTCCGACAAAGATAAATCAAAAATAGCAGCAGCTATAGTATACGCCAACAATTTATTTGTTATTATACTTTACTATCCAGATCATTGTATACTCATCCACACTGCTAATATAAAGAAATAATTCATAATTCTATGATCTTTGCGAGCTATGCGTTGTTCCAAAAACCTTCTCACCTTGCAGCTCTTCTGAGCGGGGTAAGGACTACTAATAATGAGATCATGGATGCCACAAGCACCCTCCTGCTCTCCGTTCCAGTTTAAAACCTGCTCTTGCCCCCCTAGATACAGCATACGCCTTTCCAGAATCTCTAGACTAGACCGAACACTTCTCAGAATGCCCCGCGACGCAGACTTCCTCAGCCCCCGCGAGCTGCTGGTCAATGATGGGTTTGTCTGCAAGCTTGCCTCCTTTCGCAAACTGGGGGATCTCTGCATCAGGAATGAGAAACTGCCCGATTCCGACGATAGCCTGATGCAACAAGCCGGCTTTGAGAATAAGGCCTATAACGTGGTGGTATGTTCTGTTTGAGACATCATTGACAAAGATTCCACCTACGGACAAAGGCACTCTCCCCTCCTGGCTAACTGCGTGTCAAGCTTCCGTCTTACCTGCAGCCGATCCCTATTCAATTCCAGACGGTATTGCTCAGTCCATATTCCACGCCGCCCCTCACTCATTCACTAACGGTAGACAGGTCCGGCAAGTCGCTAATAACCTCAATGTACGCCCAGAATCTCGCCTCGCTGCTGCTCAACTTGGAAGAGGACAACTCAGCCCCCCCCCCCCCGCGACGTGGTTCCCATTCTACAAACTGACAATCACACGTCTTCATGTGACAGGGAGAGTACAACTATACCGAGACTGTGTGCAGCACCGCCTTGAAACTTTGCTCTGCCGCGCCGGACGATTACGGTACGTGTCCATTTTTGTCTCTGCCCCAAAAGAGACATCGAAACTTAACCACTTACGCTGAACTGAAAAAAAAAACCAGACAAGATATTCCAGGACATGGAGGCATTGAGACAAGACCCCGACAACGACAACCTCAGGGACAAGGTCCAACAAGAGATCACCGATCGAAAGTACCAAATCGACATACTTAAAGACCAGGCGGACGCCTGGAGCTCGAATCTCAGAACTTACAGCCTGGATGCGGAGGATTGCGAGACCAATGTGCGTCAACTGGCTGCCCCGTTCCAGGGAACGACCCTGGCCGACATTTTGAAAGATGAGATCTCCGATCCCGAGGACCTGCAAATGGACCTTGATGCTCTGGATTGGACTAAAGTAGGTTCCGACCTTGACAGGTGGATGACTGCGTGCTTGTAATTGACTTCCAATCAGAATCTGCTCGAGGGCTTTGCCATGATCGATGACTTGCAGGATTCACTGCAGGAGGTTCAGAAGATGGCTGGTATGTCCTGGCATTTGCGGTCATCTAGCCTCTGCGCTAACGTGATAAGCAGGAGCTGCTTACCTTATTGCAGACGATATAGACGTGCTGCTGAAGTATGTCGAGGATCACCTTGATCCCGGTGATGACCCGTTAGATGGCCTGGTAGAAGCGACCCTTCTGCGTAAATGGAAGAACCTGGAGAATGACGGTATGTCAAGTTCCGATGTACCCTGTCTGTGAAGAACTGCCTGGTGCTGATTTAATTGCCCAGTCAATGATTTCCTGGATGCCTACAAACAGTAAGATTATATTGGATAGGGCCTTTCCCAGTGATTATGCACACATGATAACTACCGTGCATAACCAAAACTCTTGACCTGATCTACCGAGAAAGCAGGATGCAACGGTAGTTGAGACGAAAACATACGAAAATCATAATGAGAAGACCGGCCGGTAGAACGCGTCCCAGTGTAGCTCCAGTTTCTCCAGTGTACTCAAATCCAGGTCGTCGGGGTTTTCAAGAGTAAGCTTCCAGAGTGTAAACGGCGGAGGTTGAGCGTGCTCGTGGTCATCGTACGTGGCTCGCTCCACGTCGCGGAGCCACGCGCCTGACTCGTCAACCTCGTAGACATAGCGGTTCTGTCGAGGCTTGCTGACAAAATGCCAGACCTTGGTTTCCTTCGTGTCGGCGTCATACCCGAGATCCGAATAGGTCCCGGAGTTTTCGATGCGCAACCTCACAAACGCGCGGCCATCGTGCACCGCGTCGGGCGTGGGTTTCACCCCGAGCAGGCGAGGCTCCAGGCCATTCAGACGGTAGTGGAATCCCCCGGTGAAGGGGTAAGCGTAGTTCTTTGGGCCCGGGTCGTAGTTGGCGCCTGGAATGGGCAAGAGCGTGAACGTGGCACTGTACCCTTGCGCACTGCTCTTCAGGCCTGCAATAACCGTCTCGGGAAAACTGGATGCTAACTACGAAGTGTGCTCACGTCAGTTTTGGTCGTCGGATAACTAGCCAGAGTTGAATCTTTCCTGGGCCGCCGGGGCTCGTACCTCATCAGAAAATGTGATAGGAGTAGTAGCTGAGTCGAAGACACGGATTAGCTGTGCGAACCCCTAGAACGTCACCGAAACCTGGATTCTACCCACGCGTGTATCCATTTGCATATTGATCCTTGACATCTTGCATCGCACCCCGTAGATATGCGATGCAGTCGGTGATATCCTCCACCGACATCTGTGAGTCCAGATTGACCTTGGGTTCTTCCAGAGTGTAGAAGCGACAGGCATCGACCGCATATTGCAACTGAATGGCGAGCGTGGTCCGCAGCTGGAGGTATCGATCGTAGAACTTCGCTTCGGCCTGAGCGTAAGCATCTTCCTCTTCCTCGTAGTGGGCGAGCAGCCCGTCTATGGCCTCGATGTCGCGGTTGGCTTCGAGTACCAGGAGGGTGGCCTGGACATATTCCTGGCCTTGCTTGACAGCCTCGGCCTGGGCCTGGGCTAGTGCTCGGCCGTGCACCGCATGCTTGCGCAGGGTCAAGCGGTACTCACTGGCTCCGTCAATTGCGGGATTTTGTTGTGCGGTAGCCCATTCCATCTGTTGGTCGGATTCCAACTCCCACTCATCCCAAGCGGCCAGGCTCATGATCAAGCTGGCGTCTGCATCGGTCCCATCGGAGCCGGAGACGTCGCCCCCCAAGGTCGGAAGGTCAATATCATCGTGATCTCCCAGACGGTCAATCTTGCCCGCCGCACTGACAATATCGGCAATATGGGGGTACAGCTTCCCCAATGCCTTGGTATACTCCCACAGATTCTTGAAGGCCTTGGAGCCGAGGATGACATCCTCCGCCGCCCCTGCCGTTTTCTCTGCTTCCTTAACGTCTTCGACGATTTCTTCGACCGCGGAAGGGTCGCCCGCCCCCTTCCCTACGGCGTAAATTCCGGCCGCAAATTCTAAAGGCGGCGGCGGGCCACGGACGTGTCAGTTCAAGGAATCTGGCCCCCGTGACGGGATTCAATAGAAGAAAACAGGGAACCACCCACGAAAGATGGCACCAAGGATTGTGCAAATTGCCAGGAAGGTCTGCCTCTGTATCCATGCATCAAGACCGTCTTGGAACCTGTCCTGTGCAAGTCTTAGCTCTTCTTCATCGTCACTAAGCATCTTGTCGCAGGCTTCGACGGTAGCGGCTGCCGCCTGATATTTAGCCAAGGCCCGCGCCTGTAGATCGACTCTGGTTGACTGTGTGTTCTGAACGGTCTCCAGAAGGGCTTCCCCCGCCGCCTTGGCGTTATCGACTTGGTTTTCGGCGGCCTGAAAGAGCTCG